ATCTATCTATCTATCTATCTATCTATCTATCTATCTATCTATCTATCTATCTATCGTTTTCGTTCTCTATTTATATTTTACGCCTATAGTCAAACGTGTATCTATGGTTTGGTATAGCACATTATTAATCTATCATGCACAGATGTTGCCATGGACGGGGAAATGGTTAATTAATGTGCGACTCACCAGTCTGAGATCTGGGCACAACAACCGGCACAGGTCTTGGCGGGGGAACTTTCTTGATGGGCGCTGGTGCGGGTCCGTGCGAATGTTCGGCGTAGGGAAACTCGTTGTGGTAATCGCAGTAGAAGGTCATGAAGAAGTTCTCTGTCTTGAAGCTCGGACAATCGTTGTTGAACTCGTAATCGAACACGCTCATCACAGCTGTGGGAGGACAGAGGGAGAGAGCCAGTTAATTTGACCATTATTCGACTTGAACGTCACTTTGAGAGTGAGAGTTATTCGATTTGAACGAGTCAGTCAATTCGACCATTAATCGACTTGAAATCTTATTCATTTTGAGTGCGTCAAGAGGATCGCCACTTTTCTTGGATGTTAGTAGATCGACGAAAATCAGTCTATATTATTTAGTCATTCAATTTGAAAGAGACAATCATAGAGACTGGCATTTTGAGCGCGGGTGAATTTGAAAGTAAGTGTGACTGATAGAGTCTGTAAATTATACGAAAGTTTTCGCTGTTAACAGCACGATCAGCAGGCAGACCCTTTCGTGGATCCTGGAGAGGAGGGAGGAGCAGCTATGGCATTGTGCCGCCAGAAATGATGCCTATTCTTCAACTAAGTAAGTAACCAAGTAAGTAAGTAATTCTAATGTTTTTTTTCCAGGGAGATAGCTCAGTTTTTTAAAAAGAATTAACCAATGTCAGTGTAACCCAATTATTGAGAGTCAGTCAAATTGTAACAGTAGGTATTGGCGTCTGCGGTGTTGTGGTTGGTACTTTGCTGTGCTGTCGCACGCAGAAGATCCGAGTTCAATTCTCGTGTGGGGAAGATTTTTATAGAGTGTCTTTCTGCTGTGAGTCATGTCCTTCTCAGCCTGGGTAGGCCCTGACAGGCAGGGTCGAAGCCCGCCTCCTGTATCGTCTAAACTGTGTCGATGATGGCGTAAAAGAACCCATATGTACACGTAGCCTACATGAAACAGTAGGCCATCTCAAGTGAGCATGCTTTGTTATTATTTATTTCTTGAAAAACATTTTTACTCACCGTCGTCGTAGGTGACTCCGAACATCCTGGGAGCTTGATTGCTTATCGCCACAGCACCGCTACAGTCCTTGTACTCTCCGGAAACAGGGTCCTTGCACGCAGCGTGACAGACTCGGCCGCACGAGTCGTGAGCACGGAGCAGCGCCTTCGTCACGCCCACTGAAGCGGAACAGGAAAAGACAGTCAATGAACTACACTACATACAACACGACAAGTTTATTATTTAGATAGATTACACAAGACTCCTCCCCCTCTCCCCTCCCTTCTCCGCCACGCCTCCCAGGCGCAGTTTAGATCGTTGAAGGGCTGTGATTATTCGACCCCACTCCAAAAGAGTATATTATTCCAAACCAACGAACAAGCAAAACAAAATAAGACACCCCCAACCCCTAAAAACCCAAATAAACCGAAAACAAAGATGAAAGAGCAGACTTGAAGAAAAGGGGGTAAAAAGAATAAACGTCAAATTTTCTAAATTGTCATATTATGACGTCACTCACTTTTGCCCCTAGTTGGTTTCTTGACGCTGATGAAGCCCATGGAGATGGAGACGGCCAGACGGTTGTCCACAATGGCCGCTTCCTTGTAGTAACCGTCATAGTTAATGCCCTTGGAGGACAGGAAAACTTGACCCACGCTCTCGTCGTCACGGCAACGCTTGTAAGTTTTGGGGTTACCTTGACGACGCGAGATCCACCTGTGAAAGCCGACATGCCATGTCATTATCATTAGTTATCCACTAATAGTAATTTGATGTGTTTCAATATTTTTGAAAAGCTATTTTATATATTATGTTCCACGGTTGCTAGTGTTCTACTCATACATAAGCTCCTAGATTTGAAGCCATTTTTGAATATACATTTACATTCTTCTGATTTGGTTAACATTTTTGGACATGATTGGTTTCAAGTAGCCTCCTCCTATAAATGACGGAGGTCGTTGTGTTGTTGCCTGCGGTTTTGTCTAAAAAGAAGACTTTGAATTCGATTAAGGTTCCTATTTCTTAAGTCCTTTCCCTCGAGAATTTCGTTTTGTCTGGGAACCAAGTAAACATCATCATCATCATCATCATCATCATCATCATCATCATCATCATCATCATCATCATCATCATCATCATCATCATCATCATCATCATCATCATCA